TATATATATATATATATATATATGTACATTTTCTCTTGGGAATACCTAGGAGAATGATAGCTGGGCCAAATGATACCTGTTTAACATTTTGCTCAACTGTCAAACTATTTTCCAAGATGTCTATACCATTTTACAATCCCACCAGCAATGTACAAGGGTTCCACTTACCATTTCCTTATCAACACTGGTTATTATCTGTCAGTTAAATAGTACCCATCTAGTGTATGTGAAATAGTGTGGCATAATGGTTTTGATGTGGACTTCTCTGATTAATAACTTTGAGCTTCTTTTCATGTGCTTATTGGCCATTTGTTTTTTGGAGAAACATCTCCCGAATTATTTGTCAATTTTTAATTGGGTCATCTTTTTATTGTTGAGTTGTAAGAGTTCTTCATATATTCAGGATACAAGCTCCTTATCAAATAACTGATGTGCAAATATTTTCTCCCATTCTAGTTTGTTTTTCCACTTTCTTGATAGTGTCCTAAAAGTTGTTCACTTTGATGAAGTCCAAGTTATATTTTTCTTTCTTTTGCTGCTGCGCTTTTGGTGTCATATCTAAGATACCTAATCAAAGGTCACAAAAGATTTACTCTGTATTTCTTCTGAAGTTTTATAGGTTCAGCTCCTACATTTTAGTCTTTGACCCATTTTGTATTAATTTTTGTATATGGCATGAAGTAGGGATCCAATTTCATTATTTTGTATGTGGATATCCAGTTGACAGAGCATTATTTGTTAAATAGACTATTTCTTCTCTTTTTGAAGGCATCCTTGTCGAAAATAAGTTGACTATATGTGAAGTTTTATTTCTGGACTCTAAATTTTATTCCACTGATGTGTTTGTTCACCTTTATCCAGTCTTAATTTTTATATACTGTAATTGTTATAGCTTGTAGTACCTTTTGAAACTGGGACGTTTGAATCTTGCAATTTTATTCTTTCTTTTCAAGACTGTTACAGCTATTCGGGGGTTCCTTGAACAAGGATCAGCTTGTTAATTTCTGAAAAATCAAAACCAAAAAAGCCTACTGGGATTTTGGTAGATATTGTGTCCAATCTGTAAATAATTTTGGGTAGTGTTACTATCTTAACTGTATTAAATCTGATCCATGAATATGGGATGTCTTCCCATTTATTTAGATTATCTTTAGTTTCTTTCAGCCATGTTTTGTAGTTTCCCTTGTAAAAGTCTCCTATCCTTCAGATTTATTTCTAAGTATTTTACTCTTTTGGATGCTCCTGTAAACGAATAGTTTTCTTAATTTCATTTTTGGGATGTTCATTGCTGGTATACAGAAATACAATTTTTGTATACTGATATATCCTAAAACCTTGCTAAATACACTTTATTAGTTCTCATAGTTTTGTTATGGACTTAAGATTTTCTATATAGAAGGTCACGTCACTTGTGAATATACTTTCATTTCTTCCTTTCCAATATGGATGCCTTTTATTTCTTTTTCATTGCCTACCTGTCCTGGACCAGAATCTCCAGTACAACATTGAACAGAAGTACTAAGAACAGATATCCTTGTCTTGCTGTTGCTCTCAAGGGGAAAGTATTCAATAAGTATTTTACATTAATATATTAGCTGTGGGGTTTTCATAAATGCATTTTATTAGGTTGAGAAAGTTCTCATTCTTTTCCTAGTTTGTTGAGTTTTGTTATGAGAGGGTGTTGGAGTCTGTCAAATGCTTTCTGTGCATCTACTGAGATGATCATATGTGTTTTTTCCTTTATTCTTACCATGGTGTATTACATTGATTGATTTTTCAGATGTTAAACTCATATTCCCGTGATAAACCTGTCATGGTGTATAATCCTTTTCATGGGTGTTGGATCTGGTCTGCCAGTAATTTGTTAAGTATAATATACTGTGTTTTTGTTACTTAACATCTTACCAACATTTTCCAAGCTCTTTATGTATTATTCTGAAGGACCATTTTTAGCATTTACAGCTACTATAATTTAACTATTTTCCTATAAGACATTTAGGATACAGCCAATTATCCATTTATGAAATATATTTGTAATACACACTTCTGTTCATAAAACTCGGCCAAACTTTTTTTACTATTTGAAATTTTGTGTAAATAGAATCAATGGCTCAATTCATGTGATCTTATTTTTAGTTTTCTTCATAATGCCAAGCTGCTTTCCAGGAAGATTATAGCAATTTATACTCTCAACAGCAATAAAAATAGCAATTTCCCTAACTCATTGCTAATAGTCATCCTTCTAAAAACTGTTAGTTCAAAAAATAATAATGTTTTTTATATTTATTGGGGGTCTTAATTTCTTTGATAAATTACTGTTCAAGAACAACGGAGCCACTGAAATACAGTAAATGAAATGCTATTTTTAACTACTTTTTAATGTGAAACAAGATCATAGTAGGAGTAAATATACCTATCTAGCTAACTAATATTACAGTAAAACCCCTTTTAAAAGTACTTTCACCACACTGGAATGAGATGCTTTTTACTGACCATTTTCTATAAACAGTTCATTAAATGAATTTCCCCCAAATACACAAATTCTCTGTTCCTTCAATTCATGTGTTTTCATTTGAAACCTAATGACCTCAGTAATATAACAAAATATTTTTTAAGAAATTTACAAGAGGCATCTTTTCAGATCATATAAAGCATAACATTTTGATCAAGTCAGTACTTTAATTTCTTTGAAGACAGTTGTCCATTGTTAAAATGGATACAAGCATAGAATAAATGGCACTTTCTTGCCCAGAAACTTTACTAAGTTGATAATTAGAATAGCATGGCAGCATGAGATAGCTACCAGAGATGCTACCTCCTTAGAAAAAAATTAAATACCTTCACTAGTGGCATATTGCAATTCTTTTTTACATTAAAAAAAGGGGGTTACTTCCAATACCCTAAACTTGTTGACATTATTGAAAAAAAGTGGTACTTTCTGAGAACATTTAAAATAATTTCTTCTGTAGGAATCAAAATAATCAAATCTTACCCAAGTTTGTTTCTCCAACATGTAGCAGAGCTCCTATCATGTAATAAGCCCCAATTAATAGGTCTGTAAAATGACTGAACTTAATAGTAGCAGCCAGTCAGTCATATAAGACTTTTTTTTTTGCAACTAGGTAATTGACATGTCTTATCCTTATGACGTTACAGAAGGAAGAGGTTGAGGGACAAGTAAGTCCATGTTTTTTGTTCAAAGAATAAAAATAAAAAGACTGGCGTTATTCTGCAAGTAATATCTCTTCCTAGAATTACCTACTAAAAATATACTAGGTACTACCTTTTTCCTTATCTTGCTATAGGAGATTCACCCCTTGCTCTCATTTCAAATGCAAACATTCTAGAATTTAATATATATGTTCCCAAAAATCTAGTCTTAGAAGAATCAAATAACTGGAAGCATATGTGGAAAAAATAATTTTTAAAACCAACAAAGTAATTTCATCTCATCTACTAAATAATTTTTTCTGAGACAAAAAGATTACCATAAAACATGTTACTACACTGATGGACAATGACTGAAATGGGGTAAGGGAAGGGACTCGATAACAAGGGTGTATGTAGTAACCACATGGTTTTTCTTGTGAAACCTTCATAAGAGAGTATATCAATGATACTTTAATAAAAAATAAAAATAAAAAGGCAAAAAAAAAAAATTACCATAAAATATCTGCTCAAGATTTTACCTTTACAGTAGACTGCAAACATGGTACTTTCCGAACTTGTCTGCCAGTATCACAATCCCATACCTAAATTTTGTTAAGAAACTTTAAAATCTTATTTATGAGGTTATAAATATCTTAATAATGAGATCACTTTTTTAGTAACTAAATCACAAATATTCGAATTTTAGGTGGAAATAGTTAAATAAAGATTAAGTAAAATTTAAATAAAAAATTAATTCATAAAGTGAGTCATCAACTTAGCATAGCAGGCTTACTATGTAAAATAACTTTGAGGTAAATTTTACTATTGAACTATCTGAAAATGACAACAGAATGGTCTGAATACTGAATCTTTACAGGCATTAAATATTGCAACTGTTTAGATTTAAGTTTACTATCCAAAGAAGTCCACTATAACCTAATAAACATTGAACATATTTATACTAAAAACTATCACATCCATTAATATTTACTGAAAGCTCCCTCAACATGCATAGCATGGTTTACTACTATTATCCTGATTCAAAAAAGACAGTGTATTCTTGTTACTTATATACATACTTAAAATAATTAGAGGACCTCGCATACACTGTACATGGTTAGTTTAAGAAGCATAATGATTTTCAATTTTTTACATCATTTCCTAGGGTAAGATAGATTTTATATAATATCTGAGAACATACATATATGTGTAAATATATATGTATGTATATGTGGACTCTTAAGACTATCACTTGACAAAAATAAATCTACTCTAGCATTTAATTAATAAAGGTAGTTAATAGTGAAGGCCCAAGCAGAACAAATTTAGAATCATTTGAGTAAAATGAACTGCCAAAAGAGTAGCCTTGAATTATTTCTAAGAAAAGTCACTTGGCAAAGGAAATGACTCTATATTATCACCCTACAATAGTAATTTTAATAATTTTCTCAATATCCATATAGTACCTTAGGAATGGTCTAATAAAAAGTACATTAAATTGTTTTTGCAGAGATTATACAGATACTGAGAACAAAACAAAAAAATTGCTTTAGTCCATTAAAATAATATTTGCCTTAATAGAGTAGTAATGAAGTTACTCTTACCTAAACATGAGTATATTTTATGCCTTTGTTTATGCAATATTACACATACCACAAAATATAGTTTATTCCCCCTTAAAGCTTTTCTTGAAATTTTTTTCACCTATTGACAATTTGTCTAGAAAACACTTCAGCTGATGAGCTCACTCATAATTTGTCATAAAGTATATCTTGGTTCTACAGATGCCTAAATAAGACCTATTCCTTTAGGTTTACTACCAAACTGATTTCACTAATGCTTGAAATTAAACAGAGTTCTCAGATAAGCCAAGACTTTTTAAAGCTAATCTATACCTTAAAAAAAAGTAATATTTATAGAACCACAGAAGACCCCAAATAGTCAAAATAATCTTGAGAAAGAAGAACAAAGCTGGGGGTATTATGGGCCTTGACTTCAAGCTACATTACAAAGCTACAGTACTCAAAACAGTATGGTACTGGCACAAGAACAGATCCATAGATTAATAGAACAGAAGGGAGCACCCAGATACAAACCCACACATATATGGTGAATTAATGTATGCTAAAAAAGCCATGAATATACAGTAGGGAAAAGACACTCTTCAATAAATGGCGTTGGGAAACCTGGACGGCTACATGAAAGATAATGAAACTGGATTATTGTCTAACTCCAACACAAAAGTAAACTACTTGAAATGGATCAAAGACCTGAATGTAAGACATGAAACCATAAAACTCATAGAAGGAAATAAAAGCAAAACTCTCTCGAACATAAGCATGAGCAATTTTTTTCCTGGACACATCTAAGACAAGGAAAACAAAATAAAAAATGAACAAGTGGGACTACAACAAACTAAAAGGCTGTAGAGCAAAGGGCACCATCAAAAGAACAAAAGGGAAACCTACAGTATGGTAAAATATGTTTATAAATGATTTATCTGATAAGGGGTTAATATCCAAAATACATAAAGAACTCATATGACTCAACACCAAAGAAACAAACAACCTGATTAAAAAATGGGCAGAGGACCTGAACACACGTTTTTCCAAAGAAGAATTACAGATGGTCAACAGGCACATGAAAAGATGCTCCACAATGCTAATCATAAAGGAAATGCAAATCAAAACCACAATGAGATACCACCTCACACCAGTTAGAATAGCCACTAACCAAAAGAAGCAATCAAGCATTCATCAATAGATGAATGGATAACGATGTGGTACATATACTCAATGGAGTATTATTCAGCTATGAAAATGAAAGAAATCCTGCCAGCTGCGACAACATGGATGGACCTAGAGGGTATTATGCTAAGTGAAATAAGCCAGGTAAAGAAAGAAAAATACCATATGATTTCACTCATTTGTAAAATCTAAAAACAAAACAGAATGAACAAAACAACAGTAAACTCATAGACACTGAGAAGTGGCTGGTCGTTACCATGTGGGAGGGGTTGAAGTGGGTAGAAAAGGTGTTTGAGGGGGATAAAGGGGCACAAAGATCTTAATCATAATAGAAGTTAGTCACAGGAATGGAAGTCCAGCATGGAAAATATAGTCGATGGTTCTGTGACATCTTTCAATGTTGACAGATAGTAACTGCACTAGTTGGAGGATTCAATACCATGGAAGACTGTTGAACCAGTGTTGTATATTTGAAACCAATATAATACTGTATATCAACTATACTTCAATAAAAAAAGAATGAAAAATTACAGTTATCCAAAGCATTTGGCTACAGCCTTCACAAATCCAATTCCTCTTACAAGTATTTAAGCTCCTTTTGCTGTACAATGAGCAGAAAAAAATGTAAATTATTCTCCAGTCCAAATTATCTTTCTCTAAATTGAAAGCAAACTGTAGTAATAAGTATTTTAAGCCCACATTCTCCCATTTCCTCCATTTTATATAAAACTTAACAGTAACTCTGGAAAGAACAGCTTTTGTCATGGGGTTTCCCTCAATAATAAACCTTAACCTGCTATTTACAGTCTAATACTTTTCAGATACCTAACACTTTTAAGAAGTGTCTTACGAAGGTAGAAAATCATGTTTGCTAAAATAGGAATGTACAGACAGGCCCCAAGAGGCAAAAGACTAATAATGTGTACACCAGTCCCTTGGGTTACTAAAGCTATTTCAAGTCTTCATGATTTAAGGATATAATAACTGTTCTATCAGCAGAGGCTGTCAAGATCAGTTGATTTTTTTCTTCACAAGCTTCCAAGGAAGGAAATGTAGTAATAGCTGTTATCTTTTGTGTGTGTCCATGGAGTTCCAAAAGTTTTTCTCCTGTCTGAAATACCAATAACAAAGATCAATAGGTTCACATTTCACAATTTAAATAATCTTATATGACAACATTAAGAAGAATCACCATATAGAAAAGATATACATTCCATTTGAAATTATTCATATCTACAATTTACCTTAAAGCAAATCAAGTAGAATCTGAACAGGTCATGGAAGAGTAGCCATAAACAATTTAAATTTTTCCTAATAGAAAATGCTAATTTTTAGCATTTTTTATTGGCAATTTAAAGGAATATTCTTTCCATATAGTTTTAAGACTAAAAATGTGTAAATTAAGCATAAAAATATTAGTAACTTCATCTGTAGGAAAAAAACAGGGAGTCCTCATTATCCAAGTATATACCTAAGTCTCCATAGTTATAAAGTTGTATAAGGAAATAAAAGGCAGCATAACAACAAGATATATATGTATATCTCCAAGAATAAATCAACCAGTCATAAAGTCAGTCTCCACTCCATCTCTCTCTATTTAACCAACAGCTATTCCCATCCATCCAATGTCTTCACCCATCAGTCTCTCACTGATTTTCCAAGAAGGAAACATAAAATTCAATGTAAATATAACAATTTTTTCCAAGGTTGCAGCATTTCATGAACATAGTGCACATAATGTTAAAAACTACTTTACTCTTAGGCAAAGCCATTGAAAAATGAAGATCTGACAGAGTCAGACCAGATATAACAATTCAAATAAGGCTAATTAAGATAAATGCTTCAAAGAGAATAACTTGAGTATTAAAGGGTCAGGAAGAGAGGCCCTGGAGAAATTTGGTGAAGCCTTAAATAAAGCTTTTGAAAAAAATAAGCCTTTTGTTATGTTACTATTAAAGTCAAACACGAGAAGAATGTTACTATCTTCCACAAAAATCAACACTTGATTCATTTTCAGAATCAGTGCATAGTTACTGATAACTTAAACTTTGTTGAATAAAATTAAAACTTTTATAATTTGGCATTTATTTCTCAGGAAAAAAAATCTTAAATAAAAAACTTTCTATTATGAAATACTGGTCCTCATTTTAAATGGATATATCCTAAGTAGCCCTTTTCAAGTATTAAGTAGTCTCAATCTATATGGATGTATATCCGTAGATAGTGCTTATGAACGTATATTCAAATATACAGTCATGTCTTTATTACACAATTCACAAAGAAACAATACTCACCTGAGCATTCCACACAACTACAATTCCATCATCACCAGCAGATGCAAATCTGGTTAGAGAAAAAAGGTCAAGAAAATCGCTTGCGACATTTAAGTGTAAGATTACTATGAAGGATCAGACTTTGTTAATGGTATTTTGATTTACTAATGTTAATGTAGATTCAGTTCTTTAAGCTAACTTAGCAAATATTTATGGAATACATTCTAGGTTTAGTGCCAGGTACTAAGGATCTAAAGTGAGATCATTCATAGAGTTATAAAGAATAAACTGCTAGAAATGTGAGAATGAGGGAGATTTATAAATCCTCTTTAAAGTTCCTCCTTGCTTTAAAAAATTATATGATTAAATCCTGACTTAAGTGACATGAAACCAAGCTGAGGGATAGCTTTCCTGATAGGCAGTGATATTCCAGGAGTAGGACAAAGGAATGAGGTTCTCAGATTAAGTTCATTATTTCTATTATTTTCTTTGTAAAGATATTTTAACTTTATTATTTAAAGCCAAGATCTCTACCTTGCTCCTCTTGGTTCTTTGGTTTTTCCATGTGAATACTGCATTCTTGGTTTGGAAACTTTTTTGAGAGTTTTTATTTTGTTTGTTTCTTAGTGAAAATGCTTGAAATGCAAAAAGGTAAAGGAAAGTTTGTTTCATGGCATGAAAAAGAGCTGTGATGAACTCATTTACAACCCACCTCTCCTCTTTACCTCCCATTCACTATACATAAAGGAACAATCACCTACATTTTGTAGAGTAGAAGATATCCATGACATAAACACTATCAAGAAAAATAATTTGTTGTGTAAGATTATTTATCATAGTGACTGCATAATAATAAAATAAAGAAAAACCTGTTCTCAAGCAGTGTCCCAATACTGTAATGTAATGTGTCCCAACACTGTAATGTAATGTGTCCCAACACAGCAATCACATTGTAAGCATGTCAAGTAATTTATTAATATCATACTCAAGCCAGGCAGAGAAAGACAAGTACCAAATGACTTCACTCATCTGTGGAGTATAAGAACAAAGAAAAAAACTGAAGGAACAAAACAGCAGCAGACTCAGAGAACCCAAGAATGGACTAACAGTTACCAAAGGGAAAGGGACTGGGGAGGATGGGTGGGAAGGGAGGGATAAGGGAGAAAACGGGGTATTACGATTAGCACACGTAATGTAGGAGGTTGGGGACATGGGGAAGGCAGTATATACAGAGAAGACAAGTAATTATTCTATAGCATCTTACTACACTGATGGACAGTGACTGTAATGGGGTCTGTGGGGGGAACTTGATAATAGGGGGAGTCTAGTAACCATAATGTTGTTCAAGTAATTGTACATTAACAATATCAAAAAAATATATATATCATACTCAAGTTTGTTAATGATTCTTTAATAAATCAAAATCAATTAAAAGTTGTTCCCATAATATCCCTTTCATTCACTTGAATTCAAGGTTTGGCTTTTTTAATGAAGAGAAAGAGTCAGTTATGAATTGCATATAAGTAGCCCCTTATGGCCATCAATCATTCATTGATACTCCATTACCAGCTAGGCATGCAGAAAACTTGTACTTTCTTGCAAGTTTGTTAGTGAGTTTCACAAAATCTGGGTATGCTTTGATGTCTTCATTAAAGTAAATAGTTGGCCATACACAGGGGGAAAAAAGTAGAAAATTGATATACTAAGACACAAAAATTACTTTTTCCTGAGACTATCTGTTCTACTGAATTTTACCCCCATGAGATTCATAAAATCTTACTGCTTCAGTTATGTAACAAGTAATTTACCACACCAAACTAAGTTTCAAGTTCTAATTTCTCTTGCTCAATTTCAAAGTCCCATACTCACTAGCTCTGACAATTCCCATAATCAGTACTCATTTCAAAACCCTTTGATTAAATCTCCTGCAATAGGAGCTAAGAGATTATTCAGGAGACATTGGTCAAATACAGTCTGACAAAGTCTATTTTTTTAATATAGAACTATATTATCTTTTTTAACAGAAAGAATCTTTAAAACTTCTTGGGGTAACCAGTTAGAATGATTTTAAAATCCATGCCCAACATTATTCTTATTTCAAAATGAAACATATAAAAGATCTGGAGATTAGAAGAATATTTAAATTAAAAATATAATTTCTTGTGCTTAATTACACACATTTTCTGAATCAGAATACTAAATACATTAAGTATCAAAAGTAGTTGCTGGATGTAAATCTTAATGTTTCTAGGCTTACTGATTTCTTCTTATTTGTGTAGTGATGGTGGGGAGGCAAGACGCAAGTTCTTAAGACTCAAGGTCTTAAGAAACATCAATTTCTATTGATTCTTGAGACTCTCATAATGCTTTTCTCCCTTGTAGAAGGCTGCAGGTTTAAAATATGTACTTTTCTCTAACCTTGATTTTTAACTTCTCATTATTGTTTTATCATGTTTGAATCTCATGAGTTCACAATGAGAGTCGACCGAATGAATGGTTCAGAGTTTAGAAATGAGATATAGAGCATTTCACCTCCAATTTTAATTCAATCAGTAGAGAACAGAAGTTAAATCTAAACAATGCTCAATATTAATGCATGAAATTACAGTCAATTTTTTATTGCAAAGAGGTCAATTACCCAGGTGGTGGATTGTTCAAGCCTTTCAGTTCTTATATGTTGTATTGCTGCTTTTTTTTTGCATTTTTAATATTTATTATTACCTCCTCTAAAGAGGAAACATGAAGCTTTGAAATGCAGATCAGTATAACTTTGCCACATTTTAGCATCTCTCATAAAATAACTAGTAAAATGTTGGGCCATCATTCACAAATTAAGATTATCTATTCTACTAGGATGGATAAATGAAAACTAGCTGCACTCTATCAGTTTACCTTAATCTAAGTAAGTTTATACTAATTGTCAAGCACATACTCCAGCCATCCTCAAATCAGAAATGAAAAATCAACCTAATAATTCCTAATAGTAAGATACACTGTAATTGCTGAAAAGAAGTAGTGAACTATAAAAAAGGAACAATTAATTAGACAGTAATGAAAATATAAATAAGGTTTAAGCTATCATGAAAGGAAGAATAGAGGCTATACTGCCATATAATTATATATAATAATTTTTTAAAACACTCTAGATTACTAGAATCCAAAGGCTCAAATCTAAAGGTAAGGTTTTAAGAGAAATGTTACTTTACTTATTACCACAAAATGTATTTAGTGAGAGTTCATGCTAGTGATAAAGAAATGCCAAGATTAATTACATGTGGTTCTTGCCTCAAAATCATAAAATTTAATGATTGTTCAGAAAGGTACTGTATTTCATCAAATCTAAGACATCATCATTGTAAGACATTCTATTATTTTATATACTATTAAAGAAAAAAATGCTGCCAATTTTAAATGAAAGACATAATCAACTATATAATGTATCCAAATTTTAGAGATGAAAAAATAGGTTTCTTAGATTCAATGAAGTACAGTTATTGCTGTATTTATTCATCTTTATAATATGGTACTTTTTAGTGCAATGAATCTCTGATTATCTCTGGCAGGCTTCAAGAAATGCTTTTTCAATGAATAAATGAATGAATAAGCAAATATTTTAACTGTTGAAAAATAGATTCATTAATAGTAATAATATAACCTCACCTTTTCTTTTTAGTTATTCATATCTCAATATATTGTCACAAAAATAGAAACTTAAAAAGTTTAAACCCAGAATCCCACCACACAAAAATAAATTCATTCATGTTCCTGTACCGTGCTTAAACATATCCTTCTAGTTTTCTTCATTTGAAACCAAGTCTTTAAAAGTAGTCAAGACTACACAATTATTAACCCAAAACTATATGCATGAAAAAAGTTTAACAAGGGTAAAGCATGGTTTAATGAAGACCTACAGCAGAGCTTCTACAATGTTTCTTCTCTCCTACCCTAATTATGAGAATTAAATTTATTGTGAGAGTTGATGATTCACTCATTCATTCAAGAAATATTATGCACTTACTATATATTAACTACATATATATATGTGCATACACACACACACACACACACACAGTTTGATCCTCAAAGTAAAGATCAGTAAGAGAATTCTTGCCCTTGAGAGCTCATGGTCTATATTACTAATAATGCTATAGGGTCCAGATCATGAATCCATTGAAAATTCTTATTTAAACACCTTTGAACAAATTCTCCCATTGAACATCATTCTCTTTAAACACCTTCCCTTTGAACATCTCAGAGTAAGTACTCTCATTCTTGCCAACTGTGGGCTGAAAGTACAGCAAAGCTTCACAAAGACATGTATAAAATAAAATATTTCACAAGTGATTCTTACGTCCATTACCTAAGTGCTTATTTAATATTTTGCATTCATATGAATTTATTTGAATTAAGCCAAATGTGCTACAGATACAAATATAACCTTAAGAGGACTTACTAAAAAGTATAGACTATAAAGCTGCATATAAACCTTCCTATATTCAGTATCTATATAACCATAAAGCACAGGAAAAATAAAAATAAAACATCATTATGGTAATACAGAAAATCCCTGTAGTTAAACAACTTCCCACTTATCCACAAATATTTCCTAATACATGATATAATTAAAATAGTATATATTTTTACAGTAAGTTGAAAAATGCTACAATACAAGAAACCAGACAAAACTGCAAAGTAACAAAATTTTCACTTAAAATTATTTATCTTGTATGCTAGAACTACTTGAAGAAAATTAGAAAAGTAAGTAGATGATAACTTGTAAGAAAAGTTGAAGGAAACTTCAAAGCATTTTCAGGAGCCATAGACATTGTTGTCACTGATTCTCTTTAATTAGATATTTCATTAGATTTCAAACATGAAATTTGTTTTCCTTGATTAAGAAAAACATATGTATTAAATCTAATATCTGAATGTCAAAGGACTTTCTCTAGCTTGCAAAAAAATGAAGGTAGGAAGGTTCCATAGTTCTCATGGTCATTTGCAAAGGTAAACCCTTTAGTAATTCTCCCCTCTCCCAAATCACAGACTTCTAGCTAAACTACACATCAAGTT